TTTTTTTTTGTTTTTTAATATGAAAAATTATAAATTTACCATATTATCCTTACTTAATTAATACTCTCAATTCTTAATATTTGCATTAATTAATGGCATTTTCTGGTATTTTGAATGTTTCCTCATTCTCTACTTCTGTCTTTATATATAAGATTCAATTTGCTCCATATATTTTTTGTTTTCATGCCTTTATTAGGGTCATGTTAGGGAGACCGGATAGAGATGGAGACCACCAATACAATGGATATCACCTTTATTAGAAATGTGGTTTAAAAAGTGGTAAATGTGGTATTCCTAGCATTTTCCTCTTATAAAAGCATAAGAAGTGTGCTCCACATATTGTGGTTGCGAATTACCTACACTAGGCAATATATGAAATGGGTTATAACAAATTTGATCCCAAATAGGTTATAACAAATGAAACTAAGACAACAAATATCTTAATTAATAATTCACAATTTTACTCCTTATAATTTGATTTAATTGTTTGTATTACTAATGTATCTTGTCCAGGTAGCAATCTTCATCTTCTTTTCAAAAATGAGGGACTTGAGATCTTTGAGCACAAAAAGGATGGCTATCATGAACTTTTTTGTTTTGTTGCAATATGTGCCGCGAGTTCTTTGTATCTACTTATCATGTAAGGAACTTAAAAGGACTCCTAAAGGAGGGACCGGAGAGACTGCCATATGGGTTAAAGGTGTCCTGAATTTCTTTATGTACATCCTCGCTAGTCATGTAAGTAACAATATTTAATCTTAATGAATGGCATGATTTGTTTGGATTTTTTTTTTGTAAAAGGCTAGGTTCTTAACTCAATCAACCTTGATGAATGACAATATTAATGTACATGGGTCAAAATGATCCATATTACAATAGAGTACATATACTTAATATTCTTGAGTTATATTTTCGAAAAACCATAATATATCATCATAACATTAAGTTCTTCTTCGAATCCTTAGTGTATGTTCTTTTTTCTTTTTGTTATAAGGGGGATTCAAAACTCTAGTCCCTTGTACTGCTATAGGTAGAAACTCTCATAAGTATGTTTAAAGGGTGAAGATAAGCTGATGAAATAAGGATACCGTCTAGTAATGAGAATATAATGTTGTGACGTGACCCAAATACGGCCAATTTGGCAGTATTTAATTAATATTTTTTGAAGTTGTTTTTATCTTTTTAAACTTGAGTGAAGTTAAAGAAATTTTTTTCGTATTTTCATCATCATCTCTAAGTCTAAACTAATGGTATTTTCTTGTTATTGTTTAGGTACTTGGAGCCATATGGTATTTTTTCGCTATTCAACGAATGGCCATTTGTTGGCATGATGCATGTCGAAAAGAAAATGGATGTGACACTAGTACTTTTGGTTGTCATGAGCATCAGACATTTAGAAATATAAGATTTCTAAATGATTTATGCCCTATAAGTCCAGTGAATACAACGCTTTTTGATTTTGGTATATATAGTACAATCCTTCAATCTGGTATACCGGGTTCAACAAATTATTTTGAAAAGTTCTCCAATTGTTTTTGGTGGGGCCTGCGAAATTTGAGGTTTGCGTAATTTTTTTTGTGTTGTTTTGTTTGGTGTGGGTGATGAATTTGCTTAATTCCAATCATATGTTTTACCATTTCATTTTTGCAGTTCTCTTGGTTCAAACCTGGAGCCTAGTATCGATGGATGGGAAAACCTGTTTGCGGCTTTTATATCTATAATTGGCTTGCTTTTATTCTTATATCTCATTGGAAATTTGCAGGTTAGGCTTGAGTTTCTTGTATCGTTTTTTATTGGCAATGATATATAAATAACTAATTCCTAGTTAATAATGACTGAGCTGCATGCTTGTTGTGGCATATATAGACATACATGCAGTTGAATACTGCACGAAGAGAAGACCATAGACACAAGATGAAAGTGGAACGAAAGATGGAAAAGAAAGATCCAGAGACAGAGTTGTGGTTATCTAAAAATGGCGTCCCCAAAAGGTTGATTAATGATATCAAGTCGCAGATGATGGTGAAGGTGCGACAAGAAGTTGAAGTAGACAGGGATGCTGATTTGGACTATATCTTCTCTATTCTTCCCCGGACTCTTCAAATCCGTATTAAAAAGTATATGCCTATAACTACGTTGAAGCGGGTAGGTTCCTTCACCCATGACTTTAATTAAGTATTAGGCTTTCCATCTACATATAAAAAAATACTAAAGAGGAAATAACTATAATATGATAAGGTTGTATGTTTGTAGATGATATGGATGCAAGCGGATGCTCCATACACAGAAAGTTTTGTTGTGTTAATTTGCAAAGAATTGTTCTCTTAAGATTTTGAACTCGGAACACTATGGACCATACATGAATATCTCAAAACATCAAGATCCAGACCTGCAGAGATAGAATAATAATTATGTTATAAGATTTTGAATTCCTTTCCTCTTTATTAATTCTTCTAAGATGTATTTATTATTATTTATTAATTCTAATTCTAGGAGCCAATGTTTCAAAACATGGATGAAAATGTGTTGAAAGAAATCTGTCGGCGTCTTAAGCCTAAGAAGTTTACTGAAGGTGATATCATTATTGAAGAGGGTAAACGACTTAAAAAGATGGTCTACATTGTGGACGGACTTGTAAGCATTAGAGGCGAAGATAGCTCCAGTGATTTTGAGCGAGGTGCAGGAGAAGTATGTGGAGAAAAGCTTGTACGGAGGCTACCGTCGACCTCATTTCCCCGCAGAGTACCGGAAACCGAGTCTGTTATCGCAAAAGGTGATGTTGAAGCCCTTGTTCTCACGGCTAGTGACGTGCAGGATATGGTCTTTGAATTCGGAAGGCAATACTTTTTGGGGACAAAAATATTTAGTGCAAAACAACTTGAGGAGGCAACAAACAATTACCTTAATATCATTGGTCAAGGAATCTCTGCAACCGTTTACGAAGGAAATCTACCAGATGGCACAAGGGTTGCGGTAAAGAAGTCCAAAACTACTAGACCTATCAGTTATAGTCTACGTGTAATTAAAGAGGTTGGGGTTGCTTCTCAGATCGACCACATAAATGTGGTGAGGTTCTTAGGCTGTTGTTTGGAACCACAGACACAAGCACTGGTGTTTAAGTACATTCCCAATGGCACCCTCTATGACCACATTCATAAAGAAGAAGAGGGCAGAGGATCATCACAGACACAAGCACTTTCATTGGAGTCACGGATAAAGATAGCGTCAGAGACCGCAGAAGCACTGGCTTACTTGCACTCATTCATTCCCAATAAGCCAATCATACACGGACATGTGAACACAAAATATATACTATTGGATTATGATTTGACGGCAAAGTTGTTTGGCTTTGGAGTTTCACGATTGTTCATTGATGATGATGATGACGATGATGATGATGATGATGAAGCTGTGGCAGCTTATGTGCGAGAGAAATTACGGTACTTGGACCCTGAGTATAATCAACCGCAGGCGCTAAGAGAAAAGAGTGACGTCTATAACTTTGGAGTTGTCTTAGCGGAGCTACTAACCAGTCAAGTGTTCGAAAATGATAACGAAAGGGAATATTGCGGCACTCAACTCGACGCCAATGTGGGTCTAAAAGAATGGAACGCTGCTTCGCTCTGCTGGATGTATCGTCGGAACCCTTACAACATGCGAGATTTTTCTTCTGAGGTCATGGGAAAGAGAAACCTGGCTGAGTATAATCAACCGCAGGCGCTAAGAGAAAAGAGTGACGTCTATAACTTTGGAGTTGTCTTAGCGGAGCTACTAACCAGTCGAGTGTTCGAAAATGATAACGAAAGGGAATATTGCGGCACTCAACTCGACGCCAATGTGGGTCTAAAAGAATGGAACACTGCTTCGCTCTGCTGGATGTATCGTCGGAACCCTTACAACATGCGAGCTTTTTCTTCTGAGGTCATGGGAAAGAGAAACCTGGCTTGGTTTCTATCCTCAATGGAAAATGGTCACTTGGATCAAATTCTGGATGGTGAAATAATAGTCAATGAAGCAACTTCTGAGACGGCCAAAAAGGTAGCGGATCTGGCAAAAAGATGTTTAAGGTCAAAAAGGGAGGAAAGGCCTTCCATGGAGCAAGTAGTCGTGGAGCTTGAGGGATTGCGCAAGTTTATGGCAGAGTATCAAAGGGGAGAAGACGTAGAACCCAGTTCCTCTTGATCTCACAAACAACAACAATAATAATTGACTCTAATTAGTGTTGTTTGCAGATGCTTCTCTACTCTTGATGCTCTATCCTTCCTTTCTCTGTTACAACTTACAAGTCAAGATCCTCTGTTTATATTCATGCTTGCTTATGCTCAAATTTCTGCTTATATTTGTGCTTTCTCTTCTCTGTTACTTCTTATAACTTTCCCTATATTTGTGCTTGCTTATGCTGAAGATCCTCTGTATACACAAGTCTGTAACAATAATCAATTTAGATGGTTAATTATCATAGTTAATTAGTCTTTAAATAAAGGGTTTAAGGTTACAATTAGCCTTGAAGTAATGGCAACGAAGAAGAACATGATGGTAAAATTGCAAATTCTAGACCGGTTCAGTAATCTAAGGCTTATAATCTTTTTATCCTGGAATCTGTAACAATTAGTAAACCAATGTGTTGTATATTGTATGTATACATCTAAAAGTTTCTGAGCCACATGGTGAAGAAGTTGAAAATTGGAGAAGACAACGAGCCCCTATCAACTTTCATAAAATGAGACCACTGAGCCCTCAAAAGGTCCAAGACATGACTTGGTCACACGGCTATTGCAACTCAGAGTTGGATCTTGTATCAAACTACGAATTTGTGCCTTTCACGGTTGCATCCAAAAATTTTGTACATATATCACGCAGAAATTTTATAGAGAGCTCCTAAAATGGCTTTCTAGTGCTTTTAGCTAAAATTTGAACTAAAAAAATAGGTAGTGTGACTGTAGATGCTCTTAATTTTGAATTTTTATTAATAGTAAATACGTGGCAGTCATTATTAGTTTTAAAGCTTCAACAAAGCCTAGCACTGAATTCAGTTGTGCAAATTTCAAAGGGAATTATTGCTACATCATTTGCAAATTTTGCAGAGTTCTAGCTGCAAGATTATTCAGTTTCTAAAAGAAGAAAAAAAAAAGTCCGGGTTATGTCTAACTCCGAAGTAGCTTTAGGCGTGGGGAACACTGAAGAGGAAGCTGCTGAAGTAACTTTACTTGCTGAATAATTGTGGTTCTTTAATTGCAGGAAGAGGAAGCTGAAGCTGAAGCAACTTTACTTGCAGAATAATTGTGTTGCTTTAGTTGCAAGTATTTTGCTTTTTTCTTTATGTATGGAGCCACTAATCTGTTGATTTCAGGACAACTAATAAGGTCAGTGTGTTGCAATCCGACTACGATCGACCAAGTATCCAATTACATTTCTGTGAGGAAAAGTATTACATTGATTATTAAACTACCTTTTGTCTCCCTCGATATTTAATGATACAATGGACTATTATATTATTTTTATATTAATTTGTTGTTCTTTTTTCTCCAGGAATCGCTATTATACAGATTCAGGGGCTACAATGGAAAACCCAAGCATGGAAACTCATGATCCTCCTCCTAGGGAGTCTTTCCTTCAAAAGTGGAAGAAGATATTTGTAGCATCATGTTTGTTTGCTGTTCTGTTGGATCCATTATTTCTCTACATTCCTATGATGAAGAATGATATCAAGTGCCTGCAGTCTGACAGAAACTTAAAGATAGCCGCTCTTCTGTTAAGATTACTCACTGATCTTTTCTATATATTTGACATTATTTTTCAAATTTATACATCTGACAAGTATTCGGGTATCAAGCATGAATATCGTCATAGATATTATAGCTCGAAAATAACATTTTGGTGGAAATTTTTTGTGCCAACAATGGCTAAGACAATCTTGGGTTCGTACAACGTCTTAATTGACATTTTGGCCATTCTTCCGCTTCCACAGGTAAGAGAAACTAATCGTTTGTTTTACGTACCAATCTCCCTTTTTTGTTTTCATCCAAAGAAAACTGAATATCTTAAATGATGATTCACCATTTTACTCGTCATAATTTGATTTTAACTGATTGTATTATTAATGTATGTTGTCCAGGTAGCAATTCTCATTTTCTTTTCAGAAATGAGCGACTTGAGATCTTTGACGGCAATAAGGATGGTTATCATGAACCTTTTTGTTTCATTGCAATATGTGCCACGAGCTCTTCGCATCTACTTATCATGTAAGGAACTTAAAAGGGCTCCTAAAAAAGAGACTGGAGAGACTGCCATTTGGGTTAAAGGTGTCTTGAATTTCTTTATGTACATCCTTTCTAGTCATGTAAGTTTCAAAATTTTATCGTAATTTATTTTAATTTCATAACAGTTGCTTGCTTGCGTTAGATAAATAGTAATGCTATTTGAACACACAAAACTAAACACATTAGCTAACTACCTGATGTGGCAGCTGATGTGGTCATGACATGTCAAACTCTAGTCTTAGGTGTAAATATTATGTACCACTTTGGGTAGAAAAAACCCTTACATCTGTGTTTAAAGATGAAGATAAGGATCACGTGCTAAATAAATATTATTTAATTTCCTTACCCGAGTGAAGTTAAATTTTTACTCTTTATATTTTCATAATTCTGATTAATTAATTTGATATTCTTCAGGTACTTGGTGCCATATGCTACTTTTTCGCTATTCAACGTATGGCCACTTGTTGGAGTAATGCATGTCGCAAAGCAAATGGATGTAACACTAGTACTTTTGGATGTCGTTACCATCACACAGATAGAAATATTACATTTCTAAATGATTTATGCCCTATAAGTCCAGTGAATACATCGCTCTTTGATTTTGGTATATATATTACAGTCCTTCAATCTGGTATAATGGGATCAACAAATTATTTTCAAAAGTTCTCCAATTGTTTTTGGTGGGGACTGCGAAATTTGAGGTTTGTATTTGTATTTTTATTTGGTCGTTTTGTTCAGCCGGAAATCGATTTGCTTAATTTGTTGAAGAATAATATAAATTCAATCTCACACATCCGGACCTATAGAAAAGTTCAATTTTGTATCTAATATATTTCATTTTTGCAGTTCTCTTGGTTCAAATCTTGAGCCTAGCGTCGATGGATGGGAGAACCTATTTGCAGCGTTCATCTCTATAATTGGATTGCTTTTATTCTTATATCTCATTGGAAATTTGCAGGTTTTTACTCTCTTTTTTTTTTGGCTCTGATATTCTATATGCATATATATTGTTGGCTTTTTTTTTCTTTTTTTCTAAAGCTTGTGTTGGTTTTTGATTGGGAAAGATAAATAACTAATTCCTAGTTAAATGACTGAGCTGCGTGTTGTGGCATATATATAGACATACATGCAGTTTGATACTGCAAGAATAGAGGCGCATAGACACAATATGAAAGTGGAACAGAAGATGGAAGAGAAAGCTCCCGAGATAGAGTCGTGGTTTTCTAAAAATGGCATCCCCAAAAAGTTGCATGATTTGAAGTTGAATATCATGAACAAGGTACGACAAGAACTTGAAGAAAACAGGGATGCTGATTTGCACTATATCCTCTCTAATCTTCCCGTGGATCTTCGGAGCCATATTGAAAGTTGTATGCCTATGGCTAGGTTGAAGAAAGTAAGTTCCTCCAAACCCATGACTCTAATAATTACTAGTCGCCTTTCCATACATATCAAAATTGTCATCCATCCAAATAAGCTTTTAATAATAACTTTGGTTACTTAAGCAGTGTTATACTTATATAAACCAAAGAGTAATAAGAGTAAATCTGTAAAACAAGAAATTAAACATAACAGATGGATTAGTACAATCTCTAAGGGGAGAGACTTTCAAAATACCAACACGCATCCTTAGTTAAAGAATAATACAACACATCCTTAGGTAAAATTAGTATAATTAAGTAATTAAATAAAAGGTTATATATATGATTGTAGATGAGAAGCATGAAATGTATTTATTTATTAATTCATTTTATTTCTAGGTGCTAACTTTGAAAAAAATGGATGAACGTATGTTGAGAAGAATTTGTCAGTGTCTTGAGCCCAGGGAATTTGATGACTATTCTATCATCATTGAAAAGGGTAAACCACTTGAAATAATGCTATTCATTGTGGAGGGAAATGTAAGCATTGAAAAGAGGAATGGTTCTTCTCCTTCTAGTAATAATTTGCAGCAACTACCTCGAGGTGCCGGAGAAGTATGTGGAGAAGAACTTCTACGTTGGCCATTGTCGACCTTATATCCTCGGGGCGCATTACTCTTGGCAACCGAGTCTGCCAAGGCAATAGGTCATGTTGAAGCCCTTGTTCTCAAGGCTATAGACTTGCGGGGAGTGGTCGATACCGACTATTTCGTTGGGATGATGCGTAGAACATTTAGTGCAAAAGAACTTGAGAAGGCAACAGACAACTACCATCCAAGTAGAATCATTCATGAAGAACGGGGCTTTGCAACCTTTTACAAAGGGGTACTGCCCATGCCAGATGATGATAAAACAGTGGTTGCGGTAAAGAAATACGCAAAGGACTCATTGCCTACATGGGATGTAGCTGTTGAGGCGGCTGTTGCTTCTCAGACCAACCACATAAATGTGGTGAGGTTCTTAGGTGGTTGTGTGGAAGAAGAAAAAGAACCCGCACTGGTTTTTGAGTACATTCCCAATGGCACCCTTTTTGAGCACATTCATAAAGAAGAAGCAGCAGGCAGCTTTGAAGGATCATCATCGTCACCAACTGCTCTACTTTCATTGGAGTTACGACTCAAGATAGCGTCAGAAACAGCTGGAGCACTAGCTTACTTACACTCACTCACTCCGCCAATCATACACCTACGTTTGTCGACAAAACATATACTATTGGATTATCATAACACCGCAAAGTTGTCTGCCATTGGAAAGTCGCAAGCAGACCCACATTCAAGTCAATACATGG